CCTGGAACTAGCTCTGTAGACCAGGCTGGCCTCGAACTCACAGAGATCTGCCTGCCTCTGCCTCCCGAGTGCTGGGATTAAAGGCGTGAGCCACCACCACCCGGCTCAGAATTTCTTGCAAAGGCCATCTCTAGTCTCAAATCTACCTATATTTTCTTTACCCAGCCAACTACAGTCTTCTTTCTACAGTAATTTCATGTTTCTTGTGCACAATTCCCAACTCAAAGACTTAGATTTTTAGTGTATTTTGTGGATGCAAAAAAAGCAAAATAAATACATCTCTCACCTTAAGGGAATAAGAGCTTATTGTGGAGCTATATTTGAATGTTCATGGCCCAGGGAATGGAGATTTGGGTTCTACCAAATTCTGGGTATAACATGGAAGTAGTTTCATGATATTTCATAGTTTTAAAGAACAAAGACAGCCATAAATCAAGTCAAGCTTAAAATACATTGGTGTACATCACCGAGAAAGTTCCAAGATGGGAGACATCTTTATATGGCTGAAGATACTACCTGATAACATTCTTAGTTGTTGAGTTGGTTCTTGAGTTAGCTGACTAGGAGTCAGCTAAGTTGAAAGGTTCCAAAAGATTTTTATCTATTAGTCACAGAATGTTAGATCCAACGTAAACATTGGACAGGAGGGGCTATTCACTGGGCAAAGTTAGGCCTAGAACATGTAATTAGCCAGCCTCTGGACATGTATGTAACATTCCAATCTCTCCACATTACTGCAGTGCTAATCAATCTTTGCAGACACAGCCTCCTTCCTGAAATTGCTTCGCAACTCTTTTTTCAGGCACACTTAAATTTCTTGAAAGGCATTTCCCAAAGTGTAGGTTAAAAATACTCTATTTCTGCAGGGCGATGGTGGCGCACGCCTTTAATCCCAGCACTCGGGAGGCAGAGGCAGGCGGATCTCTGTGAGTTCAATACCAGCCTGGTCTACAGAGCTAGTTCCAGGACAGGCTCCAAAGCCACAGAGAAACCCTGTCTCGAAAAACCAAAACAAAACAAAACAAACAAAAAAAAAAACAACAAAAAACTCTATTTCTAAGCATTCTGGTTTCTTTTGTAACGAAACTGGTAGGCTGGAAAACTGACATTTTAGATATATGAACACTGTTCACGCTAAAACTTCTTTTACCTCTTTTCCGAAGGCCACCTTGTAGTTGAGGTGAAGAGGACCCTGTAGGAACTGCTTCCCAATTACTTTTAGTAGCTGAGAGAAGTTGAACTGAGTGAGAGAAAGTTCCCACGAGGGGGCGCGATGTTACGAGGTTAACAAAGAGACCTAGGCAAACTCCCTGCTTCCAGAACTCAGTGGGACTCCAGCCTGATGCCAGCTTGTCTGAAGGGGGCCTGGCACAATCAATTTCAAGTTGGCTGGGTTTGACTTTGGAGTCCCTCCGTGGTCTGAAAGTGGAGAAGCGAATTCAACATCTTTCCTTAAACAGAAATGTTCGTAGGAGAGAACACATTTTCTATTGGAGGGTCTCCTTGTTAAAGTTAAGAACTTCAAGGCGCCCTTTGTACGGAACACTAAGTTCTCGGCTCTGTGCTGTCTGTGCAGATGAAAATGTGTCGGGTATGACGCAGGGTCAATACACGAATATTCAGCGCAGAAATCGAGGAGGGTTTGCCCATGAAAAAAATGGCGCGGACGCGTCAAGCCGGTATAATCACATGCTCACAAGCCGGGCTGTGGGCATGTACGACTTCAGACGAAAAGCGGATCTTATTATTCACTTCCGGGTGAGCCCTCTCCGGCGCCATCTTGTCTTGTTCATGAAGAAGTAGAAGCATCGAAAGGGTTTGTAGAGAATTACAGGAACGGTGGCGACAGCGGTATTCCGGAATCGGAGCGGGTAAGCGTTGAGCACTTTACACGGAGGCTCTCGCCGGACAATTAAGAGCCTCCCGGTTGGTGGGGCGAAGGTAGCGAGACTTAAGCAGGCTGCGTACGCTGCTTGGCGCGACCGCCGGAACCTCATTCCCAGAAGTCCCGGTGCCCGCCTGGGCTCGGCAATGGGAGCGCCGCTCTCGCCGAAGGAATGAGTGTTTTTTGGTGAAAGAGCGTGTTCACGATCGCTTCTTGGACCTGAGAGTTTTCTCCGGGAAGGCAGGGGACTAATTGTTGGGCTCGTGACCGGCCGTTAAGCACTGCGCGTGCGTAGTGCAAACACTTGCGGGGCCAGCAGCGCAGAGGGGCGGAGGAGGCGGGGGCCGGGACCTGGAACTTCTACCCGGTGACTCCGGACTACGCAGGCCCTGGGAAGGCGGCTGCGTCTTGTTAAAGTATCATTTTGTTGCCTAGCTTGCTTTTGTGTTTTTACCCAGCGATGAATATTTTGTGTTAAGCATCACAAAGGAGGCTAACAGTATCCTGTGTTTCAGTTGTTTCGTTCTCTTGTGGATCATGCTATCGAAGAAAATTGGGCCTTTGAGCAGATTTTGACTGTGATTGATTAAATTAACAGTCTAAATCTTTAATATTTCACTAATCTTTTCTTGACCCTAAATAAAACAAAATAGTATTGAGATCTCTTGAGTACAGCGAGGCAAAACTAAACCAGATTTTATTTGTGTGTGTGTGTGTGTGTTTTTTTTTTTTTTTTTTTGAGCACTAAGAGAGGATGTAGTAAGTGAGTTCTAGGATGTGTGTGTGTGTGTTTATGTATGTATATATCGACATATATCTATATATCCTTTTTTTTTTTCTTTTCTGGAACTCGCTCTGTAGACCAGGCTGGCCCCGAACTCACAGAGATCAGTCTGTTTCTGCCTCTGTAGTGCTGGGATTAAAGGCGTGCGCCAGCACCGCCGACTAGGATCTTCTTAAGAGGCATTATTTAAAACATATGTAAACTTTATATTTTAGGAAATTTCTTTTGCATTTTATGGCCCTGACTGGCTTGGAACCCAGAGATCCACTTGTCTTTGCTTTGGAATGCTGGGGTTAAAGGCATTTAGCGCCACACCAAGCCTTAGAATTAACTGTCGAAAAATTGAGCAGATAGTTCATAACCGCCCCCAGCTGTTACATTTCCCTCAGCAGCATATGCTTGCATGAAACTTTTGTTAGAATTTGGAACAGTGTTGCTATGTTATTAACTGTTGTCTTACTCCTGTATTCTTAGTTTAAAAAATCTCTAAAAACATTAAAAACAATAAGGTGTTTGTGTGTGTGTGTGTGTGTGTGTGTGTGTGTGTGTGTGTGTGTGTGTGTGTGGAGAGAGTATCTGTGGAGGCCTGAAGAGAGTGTCAGATCCCCTGGCATTGGAGTTACAGATGACTGCCATGTGGGTGCTGGGAACTGAACCTAGTTTCTTCTCTGCAAGAGCAGCCAGTGCTCTTAACTGCTAAGGCATTTTTCTTTCTAGCCATTATATATTTTTTAAAAGAAAGATTATTTTATGTCTGGATGTCAGTATTATATTTTGTTATCAAATTCTGCTTTTGACCATTGCTGAGTCTTTCTGATGTCTACTGTTCCCCTCCAGTTCTTTTATTTTTTTTATTTTTGGTTTTTCGAGACAGGGTTTCTCTGTGGCTTTGGAGCCAGTTCTGGAACTAGCTCTGTAGACCAGGCTGGTCTCGAACTCACAGAGATCCGCCTGCCTTTGCCTCCCGAGTGCTGGGATTAAAGGCTTGTGCCACCATCCCCCGGCTCCCTCCAGTTCTTTATTTGATTCTTTCGTTTCTTTGTTACTCTGTCACTAAGGCTGGTCTGGAATGTTCAGCAATCCTCCTGCCTCAGCTTCTTGAGGCAGATATGTGCTACCACAGAGCTTTGTTTTTTTAATTTCAGTTGGGGCAAGGACAGGGTCTTATAGCCTCCAACTCAAAATCTTCTTGCCTTTGCTTCTTTACCTCCTTAGTGATAAGATTACAAAATTGCCAACTATAAACGGTTTTAGAACATTACATTTTAATTAAATTTTAATTATTGTCACACAGTCTATAAGTGATTTTTGTAAATATTAGTGATCATCATTTGAACAAGTCACTTTGGGAAACTCAAAACAGTTGAAGGGCTTTTTTTCCTTTTAAGATTTATTTTTATATGTGTCTGCACTAGTGCACAAATGCCGTACATGCATGTATCTGTTTGTGTCTGTGTATGTATGTGCATATTAGTGTGTCTGTGGAGGTCAGAAGATGATGGGTTCCCTGGATCTGGAATTTCAGGAAGTATAAGTTGTTTCATGTGTGCTGGGATTGAACTTGGGTCCTCTGTCAGAGTAACCAGCACTTCTTTAACCACTGAGCCATTTCTTCAGCTCAGGGTTTTGTTTGTTTTGTTTGTTTTTCACTTGCAGTTCTAATAGTAAAGAAAGAATAAATGATGATCGTTCTGGTTGTTAGTATTTGCGGGTCACTGTAGCAGATTACTAGGCGGCTTAAAAATAACTGAAATATACTCTTTCATGGTTCTAAAGGGAAAAAGTGAAAGCAAAGTTTGAGAGGCATCTTCCTTGCTTCTGGATGGCACCTGTCTTTCTGTTCCTTAGCTTGTAAACTTGTCCAGTCTTTGGCATCGTAGGCACAGGACATTTCTCCATATGGATGCTTATGTCTGTCCTAACTAGGGATTTGATTAGTTCTTACCCTTTTGTATTCTTTAGACTATGAAGTAGAAGTTCCCTGATAACTTTTTTCTTGCTTCCTTGAACTTTCAGGAGTCTTATATACATGCTATAATATGAAAAACAAGAAGCTTCACGCGGTAGTTCTCATGCTGTGATTTTCTTTCATTGAGTTTGCGTATCAGTACATGTCAGTGTATAAAGCTCTTATTTTAATTGCTAAGTAGAGTCCATTTTAATTTATTTACTTTTAGTTAAATTTAACTAAAAGTACATGTTTACCAGTAGAACATTTGCCAAGATTTTTAAAATAGTTTTCTTGTGAATATATTCATCCATGGTTGGGGCCTCTGACCAGAAGGCTGTGTTTATAATTTTACTAATGCTGGATTGTTTTCAAAAAAGACGCAGGTAGTTGTTGGGCAGCCTTTACCTCATTCAATAGTTATTTGAAACTAAATCAGGATTCTTTTGGTTTTGTTAAAACATTTTAGTTGGGGGCTAGAATGGTTTGGAAGTCAAGAGCACTGGCTCTTCTTCCAGAATACAGAGGTTCAATTTCCAGCACCCACATGACAGCTCCCAACTGTCTGTAACTGGTTCCTGGGGATCTGTCAGCCTCACACAGACATACATATAGACAAAACACCAAAATAAAAATAAATAAATGATTAAAAGAAATCATTTTAGTGACTCCTGATACTTGGACTTTTCTTATCATCTTCGCTCCTCTACCCCAAATTTTACATTGATTTTTCTCAATCTAAATCATTAAATACCATTCCTGAATAGTAGCTCTTGAGAAAAGTTTGGGAAGACTCTGTGTGTGTGTGTGTGTGTGTGTGTGTGTGTGTGTGTGTGTGTGCGTGTGCGTGCGTGCGTATACATGTGTGCATGCACACAGGTACTGGGATCAACTCAGGAGGTCAGGCCTGGCAATACATCTCCTTACTCACAGAGCCATCTTGTTGGCCTCTGTTACTGTTTTTAAAGATTTATTTTTATTTATTTTTAGATGTTTTTATTTTATGTGTATGGATGCTTTTCATGCATGTACTTATGTGTGCCACTTGTGTGCCCATAGATGTCAGAAGAAGGCTGTAGATCCTCTGGAGCTGGAATTAGGGATGATTGTGAACCGAGGGAAGAGCAACAAGTGCTCCTAGCTGCTGAGCCATCTCTGCAGCCCCTAAAAATTTTGAAATTATGTGTTAGGTATTTATCTTTGGGTGTGTGTAGCTGTTCTTTGAGGTCAGCGGTGTCAGAGCTCTGGAGCTGGAATTAAAGGTGATTTATGAGAACACTCCATGTGGGTGCTGGAACCAAACATGGCTTCTCTGCAAGATCAGTTTGCACTCCTCACTACTGAACCATTTCTAGCCCTCGTTGCTAGTGTTTTTCATGGGTGGGTGTGGTAGGGTGCAGGGGCATGGTTTGAGACAGGGTCTCATTGTGTGGTTCTGGTTGGCCTAGAGCTCACAAATACCATATTTTTTTCAGCCTCCTGAATGCTGGGGTTAAAGATGTGTTCTACCACCAAGCAGTGGTGGTGCACGCCTTTAATCCCAGCATCTGTGAAGCAGAGGCAGGAGATCTAAGTGAATTTGAGGCCAGCCTGGTCTACAAGAGCTAGTTCCAGGACAGCCAGGGCTGTTAATACAGAGAAACCCTGTCTCGGAAAAACAACAACAAAAAAGTGTTCCACCATGCTCAATTTGTTACTGGTTCTTGAACAGAGTTAGTTATACAGTGTTTGATAAAGTATTTTTTATATATATTGGACTTGTAGGAATTACATGCTTTATGAGTTTTCAGGCTTGTTTACAGAAAAGTGGGTGGTATAAGGATCTGCCATCCCCTTACTCATAACTTAGAGTACCCCGCCTTCTTTTCATGATGTTTAAATGTTAAGGGTCTTAGAAACTGTCTTACATTCTGACTTTGTCTGATTACTGTTTCTAATACTATTTTATGTCATTCTTGAATACCTAATAATTTTTTTGTGTTGGAAGCTCAGTTCATTAAACATCTGTTGTGAGACAACTTAGTGCTTTAGGGAATATAATACTAGATATTGTAAATCATATCTTATGTGGGTGACACTTGGGAGTCTTTAAATTTATAATTTCATCAACTTACGAAGTTTTCTTAATCAGGTATTAGATTTGCTATTATGTTTATTGTTATTATTTGCTGTAATACAAGAACAAGTTTTCTTCATCTGCTACAGCTATTTGTTACTATTTTAAAGGAGCTTGGGGATTGAATGAATCACTTCATAATTAAAATAATTGGATTTCTAGAGATACTGGAAAATTATATATACACACATTATATAATTATATATTTGTCTTTGAGCATGGCTGATTAAAACTGTACTTTTAACTAAACTCTGATACTAGCATTAACTTAAACTTTTCTGTTCTTGCTTTTCAACCTAAATCTAAATATTTTGAATAGAGTTATAGCTCTTTCATCACGTAGAAATATCATCATGCAATTTCTGTTGTATAAATTTTGAAAATGTAAAAAGTCCAGCTTTCACTGTGCTTGCTTTGTTTAAGTAGAGACTGGAAGGATGTGGGATCAAGGAGGACAACCTTGGCAGCAATGGCCCTTGAACCAGCAACAGTGGATGCAGTCATTTCAGCACCAGCAGGATCCAAGTAAGGAAAATACTCCATTTGGAATAGGGTAGGGGTGGACATTTGGAATTGGGTGGGATATAGATGATCACATTCACATTGGCTTATTGAATCCTTCATGGAAAGAGCTAGCTGTGCAGTCTAGTAATGAGTGCATTCCTGCTGTTGGCTCTCTTTTATTACTCATTGCTCTTTAGGTCTTTTGTGGGGCCTGCCACTCAGTTCCCAAATAAATCATGCACAGGGGTTTATTATTACTTATAAATGCCTGGCCTTAGCTTCTCTTATTTCTAGCCAGCTTAACTTAAATTACATTTTGCCTCTGGGCTTTTTCCTTTTCTTCTGTATATTGTACTTTCACCCTTACTCAGTGGCTGGCTGAGCCTGGCCTCTAGCATCCTCCTCTCCTCGTTCACTTGCTCATCTTTTCCTTCTTCCAAATTTCTCTCTCTGTTTATTCTCTCTGCCTGCCAGCTGCAGCTATCCTTTCTCCTGCCTTACTATTGGTGGCTCAGCTCTTTATTAGACCATCAGTTGTTTTAGACAAAGAATCCCAGCTTCACAAGAGTTAAATGCAGCACAAACAAAAGCAGCACATCTTTACATTGTTAAACAAATGCTCCAGAGCATAAACAAATAGAACCCACCTTAAAGTAATATTTTACAGCACGTTGTTCTTAAAAATGCTTTCTTGAAGTACAGAAAGTTTTGTGACAGCTTAACATTTTTAAACTGATAGCGTTTTAGCACTTAACTTAGTTATGGCTAGTTTTGTTTCATCAAGGTTTTTTTTATTTATTTCCTTAGGGAGATATTCTTTTTTTTTTTTTTTTTTGAGCAGCCTTATAATGTAGTACAGACTGGACTAGAATGTTCTATATAGCCCAGGCTAGCCTCAGACTCACAGTGCTCCTATTTCCACCTCCCAAGTTTTAGATTACATATGTATATAACATCCAGCTTGTTTTTTTCTTTTGAATAGCTATATGGCATTTTTAATTTTTTATTATTATTATAATTATATGTTCATTGGTGTGAGAGTCAAATGCCCTGGAACTGGAGTTACAGACAGTTGTGAGCTGCCATGTGGGTGCTGGGAATTGAACTCAGGACCTCTGGAAGAGCAGCCAGTGCTCTTAACCGCTGAGCCATCTCTCCAGCCCGCTATGTAGCATTTTAATGTAGGATTTTATTCTAATATAAACCAATAATGATAGCAACAGCAAGACTTCTGATTTTTTGTTGTTGTTTAAACCTTTCCAGGCTTAAAAGAGTTCATGTGAATGGTCCACTCAGCCTCAGAAGGCAGAGAGGGATCAATTACTCACTAAGCAGACAGGCTATGGAGACTAGCATTATCAGGGAACTCTGGGTTTGATTGAGAGACCCTCCCTCAAAGAATAGTGTGGATGAGATAAAGGAAGAGATTACCATCGGACCTCCAAATGTACATAAATCCATAACATGTGGATATACATACGTGTATACCACACAAATATATATATATGAAAAGAAGAAAAATAATGGAATATTGCGATGCTTGTTTTACATAAATGTGCTATTCTTTTAACTTCTTCATTCTGAATGCTAAGTTCTGTTAATTTACTTTAGGCCAGATTGACTGGGCTGCTTTGGCCCAAGCTTGGATTGCACAAAGAGAAGCTTCAGGACAACAAAGCATCGTAGAACAGCCACCAGGAATGATGCCAAATGGACAGGATATGCCTACAATGGAATCTGGTCCAAATAATCATGGGAATTTTCAAGGGGATTCAAACTTTAACAGAATGTGGCAACCAGGTTTGTTATTTATGTTTCCAAATTTTAGAATGTTTTAGAATAAAATGAGGATTAGTAGTATATTGTTTTCCTTGTTTACTTCTATGGCTTCTTGAAATTAATGGTCTTTAAAAAATAGACTTGTCAAAATTTGATTTTGACATTTTTGTGGTTAAATTATTTTGTACACAGTCTGCTGGCATTGTGGCACTCAGTTTGATTTTTTTCTTGGTTCTTCATTCCTAGGCTGACAGGGGCTGGGAACACTCTGGAAACTTCACTTGGCATCTAGGGAAAAAAGAGCACTCTTTGTCTCTCTCTCTCTTGCAACCTCTGGCCTTTTCAGAAGCAGCACTGGCAGAGTAAAACATGTCTAGCCTCTAATTACAGAAAAGTTGTGCCACTGTGTGACAAACAAGCCTGTCGGCTATGCTCTGCTCCCATCGCCCACCCACCTTTCTCCTCTCCCTTTTTCAGATAGTCATGATTTTCCATAAGTTCTTGGCTGTTTGGTTTTATTTATTTTTTAAGCTTCACAGTATAATTTAGATTCCTTAATGCTAATTCAGTTTTCTATGATTGTGTTAATATTTTAATAACCACATCACACTATTTGTAGAAATTTCACATTTGAATATCCTGCTGAGAAAATCATAGCCTCTGTTTGCTATTATTTATTAATTTTTAAAATGTATTTATTTATTATGTGTGTTGGTGTTTTACCTGCAAGTATGTCTGTATCCCCTGTACTAGATCCCCTGGAAGTAGAGTTACAGACAGTTGTGAGCTGCCATGTGGGTGCTGGGAATTGAACCCAGGTCCTCTGGAAGAACAACCAATGCTCTTAACCACTGAACCATCACTTCAGCCCTTCACTTATTATTTCTGTTATTAACTGGTGAGAATAGAAAACAGGATATATTTTCAACATATTCTTAAAAAAGAAACAAATATTCTCATCTTTGATAATATGAGATGGCTAATTTTTGTCTTCTAAAAGGCTAAATTTTCCCAATTTTGAAAATGTTTTAGATCTCAAGTTAAAGTTTACTCATTCTGGCATCTTTGATTCCCCTTTCACTCCTGCTACATTTAGTTTGACCTTTTTTTTTTTTTTTGTGACACTAGGAACTTACTAACCTTGGTGCCTCAGTTTCCCCTTCTAAAACAGATGATACCAGAATTTCTCCCTACCTCACAGGGTTGTTGTGAGGATAAATGATGTATTCATGAAAAAAGGAGTAATATAAAATTTGAAGTATTTTTATGTTGTTGCCATTGAACAGTAACTGAGCAGTTGATCCATGAGTTGCTTTGGAATTTGTTAAATTTGTTAAAAATACTTTTTGGAGCTGAGTGTGGTCTAACATGCCTCTAGTTCCAGTACTAGAAAGGCAGAGGCAGAAGGGGCTCATGTTTAACTCCTGTCTTGGCTATGTAGAAAGTCCCAGATTAGCTTGGTCTGCATAGCAGGATTCTTGTCTCAAATATCAAAACAAAATAGTAACGTTGGGAATTTTGTTTAGAGTGTGAATTAGAATGGAGTTTACTTATTTTAATTATGTATGAGATAGTGTTTCATTCGTTGCTTATTTTTAAGATAATACAAAAGGAATTTGACAAAAATGTAATAAATTGCTTTTTAAAATCTGTTGTTTCTGTAGCTTTCTTGAGATCTTAAAAATTGCATTGATTTTGTTATAACTGCCTGTTGAATGTCTTTATGCCTAAATCCTGAATAGAATGGGGAATGCATCAGCAACCCCCACACCCCCCTCCAGATCAGCCATGGATGCCACCAACACCAGGCCCAATGGACATTGTTCCTCCTTCTGAAGACAGCAACAGTCAGGACAGTGGGGAATTTGCCCCTGACAACAGACATATGTTTAACCAGAACAATCACAACTTTGGTGGACCACCCGATAATTTTGCAGTGGGGCCGGTGAACCAGTTTGACTATCAGGTGAAAGATATTTTGTTACTTTACTATCATAGACATGCACGTAACTCATTCTTTGGAAATGTCTCGTCAAGAATTCCTAAGATGTGTGTCATTTTCAGGATTGTACGAATAAGCACATAAACAGTGTCAGAATTTATCAGCGTTTATCAAAATCATTAGATTTTTAGTTTATTAGGAAAATGGTATAAGCAAATAGGGAAAAATTAGGATAAAGTGAAAAGTGTATAAGTGCCAAATAGTTATATGATGTCTTGTCTTCCAGTTTCAATATATGTTTAAACGTTATAGTTGAGTACATTATATGTTAATAGATTATGAGTGAGACACAAAGCACAGTGAACGTAGATTATTCCTAACTGCCATACCTTCTGTGTAAAATTATTGTTTTTCTCGGTGTTTTTTTTTTCCCATTTATGGAACATATTAATGGAATTGTGTTCATGGCTTCCTCTGTGACATTCAGCTCATGTCTAGGGACGTAGAACTCTATGGAGAATAGTGTTATTGTATGGGCTTTATTTTCTTAATCTGCTTTGCTAGGGTCTACCCTTAAGAATCTAAATGTCAACATGAGATTGTGGCGCACGCCTTTAATCCCAGCACTTGGGAGTCAGAGGCAGGTGATCTCATGTTAGTTCGAGGCCAGCCTGGTCTACAGAACTAGTTCAAGGACAGCCAGGGCTATACAAAGAAACCTTGTCTCAGAAAACAAACAAAACGTTTAGATGTCATTGTGACAAAACAAGTTTTTATGTACTACACTGTCAAAATAAAAAAATTTTAGAAACTGCATATTTAAGCATTAATTGTAAGGTGAATTTGATAATATGTTCACCTTGAGACGGTAGTCCTCTCATTAATGCATGATTAGATTCTTGTGTATTCACTCTTGGAATTCACGTGTGACGAGCTTTGCTCCATTATGAAGGGATGTAGTGACAGGAGCCCCATTCTCACATGAGACTGTTTTTGCTCTGTTATGAATGAATGTAGTTACAGGAGCCCTAGTAGAGTCCAATGAAGCCTGTGTGAACACGGCTGAGCCTCTTGGCAACTTTCTCCTAAAAGGCCTCTCTAAAAGTAGCAGAGCTTCGAAATAGTCATTTGCTGTAATAGATAATTCAGTATCATTTGGGGGTTATAAAAAACAAATCTTGCACCACTTTAGAAACAGCCTGAATTCACCAGCAGTGGGAAGTTGAAATTGACAACAACAACAACAACAACAACAGAATTATTATGTAGCTTTTGGTTAAATAAAATTGACTAAGTGTGGTGGTACCTCCTGTCACCCCAGCGCCTACCTCTGAGACTCTTTGAGTTTCAGACCAGTCTTGGGCACATTGCAAGTTCAAAGCTAGCCAGGGCTATATAGCAAGAGCTTTCCTTTGAGAGAGGGGGTGGGGGAAGAAGAATGTTGAGGTCTTTGTGGTGATAGGGTGTATAAATGAATTTAGACTGCAAAGGTTCATATACATAAATAGAACTGTGTATGTGTACACGTGCCTTTCTGTAGTTAAATAATCTATAAGCTGGGTTATAGAAAGCTTTGTATTTGCATAGGCAGAAAATCTTTATCTTTCCTGAGAAAAATAAGCTTAGGTTCTTAGGGCTACAGAAATACTGTTGGATGTTAGAACCATGGAATTCTTGGATTTGCTGCACACATGGATTTCTACTGTCCCATTTCATAACACGTGTGTGTCCCAGAGGGTATATGTACTAAAGTGAAGAAAATTAAAATGCAATACTCTTTCAGCATGGGGCTGCTTTTGGTCCACCGCAAGGTGGATTTCATCCTCCTTATTGGCAACCAGGACCTCCAGGACCTCCAGCACCTGCACAGAACCGAAGAGAGCGGCCACCATCATTCAGGGACCGGCAACGTTCACCAATTGCTCTTCCTGTGAAGCAGGAGCCTCCACAAATTGGTAGCTATTTAAATATGTCCCGTGAACCACACTAGCATGATAACTTTATCACTGTAAAAACCTTTTTTTTTTTTTTTGTTTCCTAAGTTGTTCTAGTATAAATGTGGTAGAAATAATGGTATTTAAAAGCCCTATCATAGTCACGAATCTGAAACAAAAAACGAGAGAGCTACTGATCTAAATGTAAAAAGCATTGCATAGTTTTGTTTTTTTTTCAAATTATTTGCCTTAAATAGTAGTTTGTAATTAAAGATGTAAATTTTTGCTAACCTTCAGAGTTGATAGTTCAGTGTTCTTTGCATTGGGTCTCCTTCCAGTCTTAGTTATGAGATACATTTCTGTCACATTGGTTTCCTTTAACTATTTACTTCCTATGAGTATTTTAACAACAACAAATCAATTTTTAATTACCATTAACGTTAGTAATGACAAGTTATATATTTAACCCATGTTTTATATCGAAAGTTTCAAATCACCTACCATTTAATGGGCCAGGAAATAGAACTTTTAACACCTTACGAAGATTCTAACTTACTGCTTTTTAAATTTAACTAGATGAATTCTTAGTATGAAAATGAACTATATCTTTGTCTGACTTTGGTCTCTTGTCATATTTAAGCAAGCAGCTAGCTCAGTGTAAGAATTTGGGTCTGAATTAGCCTTCATCACTGGATGAAGACTTTTTGACCCTGAGCAAACACTTGCTTTTATCTCATTGAACTTTAATCTCCTCAGCTACAAAAGAGGTTGAACAGTAGTAGTGATCTCAGGGCTTTTGCATGCCTTAAATGAGGTGACACTTTAACACGCTCCTGTGCCCTGGCAGAAAGCTTTAGAATGCGCTCCCTCCTGCTATTCAAAGGAATAGCTCTTAAAGCAAGCATTAAAGGAATTTTATATGGGCCCATTGCAATTATAGAAGCTCAAAACTTTATTCGATTATTAGAGTTTTACTTAACTGACTTGTGAATTTTTTTTCCTTATATGAAACAGATGCAGTAAAACGCAGGACTCTTCCAGCCTGGATTCGTGAAGGCCTTGAGAAAATGGAACGTGAAAAGCAGAAGAAATTAGAGAAAGAAAGAATGGAACAGCAGCGTTCACAATTGTCAAAAAAAGAAAAGAAAGCCACAGAAGATGCTGAAGGAGGAGATGGCCCTCGTTTACCTCAGAGAAGTAAATTTGTAAGTGGATCCTGACATGAAACTGATAATTTTGACTATGTGAAAAGTGGCCTAAGCCTTCAGAAAGAGAGTCATTTTCTTGAACATTCTTGGGACAAGTATATTGAGGTTTGGGGTTTGTTGATGTTATTTTGTGTTTGTTACACTGAGATAGGATCTTGTTATTTAGCCCAGGGTGGCCTCAAACACTTCCATTGACTGCTCTTGAACTCACTACCCTTCAGTTTCCAAAGTGCAAGTGTTATTCTTAAAATGTTGGGGGGTGGTCCCCACCTTCAGCGGCGGCAGAGTTCCCATTAGCGGGAGGCGGATGTGAGCAGAACCATGGACACAGAAAGTAGCCATAAAACATTTATTGAGGGGGCGAGAGAGGGAGGGAGGGAGGGAGGGAGGGAGGGAGGGAGGGAGGGAGGAAGGAAGGAAGGAAGGAAGGAAGGAAGGAAGGAAGGGGACAGACGGGGTGAGATGGTGGCGGTAAGGTCAGAGGTAATGGGAGTGGGCGTGGCTTGTCCCCCAAAGAGACCGGAGAGCACAACAGCAAGAATTATATGTGTGTGCCATTATGTCTAGTGGGGTTTATATTTTACATGTTTGTTGTTGAGGGTAGGTGAAAGAAAAAAGGGAGGAGGCAATAAGTTTTTTAAAAATTTGTCCTGTAAGGATATACCCTGTAATTCTGGTTAGTTTTTATGTTAATGTACAATTTTATATTTTCTTTATTATGGTGCAGCCAGCTCCCTAACAGTGGGTCATACAAAACAAAACAGTGTTAAATAGCATAGAGAAATGTACCTTTGAATAGCTTTTTAATTCATATGTTTTAATTGATAATTTATACATTATCACCACCCCCCCCAGACAGGGTTTCTCTGTGTAACAGCTCTAGCTGTCCTGGAACTTGCTTTATGGACAGGCTGGCCTTGAACTTACAGAGATCTGCCTCTTGAGTGCTGGCATTAATGGCATGCACCACCCGCTGTCTGATCTTAATACATATAACTGAGCCTTTAGTAGTTTTCATCCTTTTTGACAGTTAAAGGGCTTTACATCCTTTTAATATTTATTCATCGATTATGTGGCATGAGTGGCTAATTAATTTTTCTGTTCTTTAGTGATTCCTGGTATGACAGCCAAATCTGGACCTGTGTAGATGTAAGGAAATGAGCTGTCATTTCAAGGCTGATTACTGCCTCGGGAATAAGAGCCAGATAACTACATTGTGCTCACATTTGTTTTGTTTATAAACATCATAAATTTAATTTTTTAAAAACACCCATACCAAAACTTTTGTTCTGAATGTTATAAAAACAAGAAATGTAAGGAAAGAGGGAAATAGTTCTGTGTTCTCGGTTGGTTGGTTTTGGTTTGATTATTGTCAGCTTGTTTTAGAGCAGAGGGTCTCAATTTTCCTAATGCTGTGACCCTTTAATATAGTTCCTTATGTTATGTTGATCCCAGCCATAAAATTATTTTTGTTGTTACTTCATAACTGTAATTTTGCTACTGTTAAGATAATAATGCTAAATATCTGTATTTTCCAATGGTCTTAGATGACCCCTGCTTGGTCCCTGAAGGGGTTGCTATCCACAGGTTCAGAACCAGTTTTAGAGATTATTTTTCCTTTGTCTTCCTAAATATGTTGGGTTTGTGTTGCATAAGTTTTCTCTGGCCCTAGTATTCTACAGATTAGATGATCATTTAGACGATCATCTGCCTTTTAACTTAATACAGTATAGTTGCTAAGAGTGACCATATGGTTTCTTGGTACTAAAATCACACAGAGACAATTTCTCAATCTGAAATAGACCTGATTTCTTCTTCTTCTTTTTTTTAAATATTTATTTATTTATT